AGCATGCTATACTAGTTTACAGATAATATAAAGAATATGGACATAATATGAACATACTATAATACAATAATACAGGTGGATGAGAGATGTGTGTGTGTGACCAGGAGGAGTGGTGGGGGGATGATGGGTGTGAGGTGATATGCAGGGGAAAGGGGGAGAGAGAGAGGGAGAGAGACAGAGAGACAGAGTTCAGAGTTCGGGGGGTAGAGTTCAGTAGAGAAACAGCTCTGGGGAAAAAGCTGTTCCTCAGTCTGCTGGTTCTGGTCCGGAGGCTTCTGAAGCGCCTGCCGGAGGGCAGGAGGGTAAACAGTCTGTGGGCAGGGTGGGAGGAGTCTTTAAGGATGCCATGAGCTCGCCGCAGACAGCGTGTTCTTTGGACATCCTCAATGGCAGGAAGTGGACACCTTGTGATGCGCTGGGCGGTTTTTACCACCCGCTGTAGCGCCTTACGGTCTGCGACAGAGCAGTTTCCGTACCAGACTGAGACACTGCTGGTCAGGATGCTCTCGATCACACAGCGGTAGAAGTTCATCAGTACAGCTGAAGACAGGTGGTGTCTCTTCAGTGTCCTTAGGAAAAAGAGGCGTTGATGAGCCTTCTTAACCAGACTGGAGGTGTTAGTGGACCAGGAGAGGTCCTCTGTGATGTGGGTCCCCAGGAACTTGAAGCTGGAGACACGTTCAACAGCCATCCCGTTGATGTGAATGGGGTTGTGCGTGCTGAGTCCACGATGAGCTCCTTCGTCTTGCTGGTGTTGAGGAGCAGGTTGTTGTCAGCACACCAGGCGGCCAGATGCTGTACCTCCTCCCTGTAGGCCGTGTCATCATTGTTGCTGATGAGGCCAATCACCGCTGTATCGTCCGCAAACTTGATGATTGTGTTGGATCCATGTACAGGTCTGCAGTCGTGGTTGAAGAGGGAGTAGAGGAATGGGCTCAGCACACAGCCCTGTGGTATGCCTGTGTTGAGTGTGATGGTGGTGGAGCAGGTGTGTCCTGACCTAACATACTGGGGTCTGTTGGTCAGAAAGTCCATTATCCAGTGACGGAGGGAGGTGTTGAAGCCCAGGTCTCCGAGTTTAGTGTTTAACTTGGAGGGGATGACAGAGTTGAATGCTGAGCTGATGTGTGAGCACAGAGTGCAGCGCAGTGGAAACTGCATCCTCTGTACTCCTATTGCTGCGGTAGGCAAACTGGTATAGGTTCAGTGTGGGTGGGAGGCAGTTTTTCAGGTGTGCTAGGACCAGTCGCTCAAAGCACTTCATTATGATGGGTGTGAGTGCCACAGGGCGGTAGTCGTTCAGGCCTGTCGGGCTGGAGTGTTTCGGCACTGGGACAATGGAGGTGGCTTTGAAGCATGCTGGCACAGCTGCTTGGGCGAGGGACAGGTTGAAGATGTCCGTAAAAACCCCAGTGAGCTGCTCCGCACATGCCCTAAGCACGCGCCCGGGGGTGCCGTCTGGACCAGCAGCCTTTCGAGCGTTGATCCGGCTCAGTGCAACGTGGACGTCTGTGGAGGTGAGTGAGAGGGTCTGGTTGTCTGCAGGAGGTCTGGTCGTGGTCTGCGTCTCCCTGTTGTCTCTATCGAAACGAGCACATATGGTCCCATTGGACCATATGTCCAATGGGGTGGATTTAGTCCTTTTGAGTTTCTTGAATTTGAATTTTTAAGGTTTTCTGTCTTTCATTTTTGAAGTTGTTTCTGCTATAAAAGGAAAAAAAGGAAAAAGCTTGATTGGGTCAAAATGCCTCCACAGGTTTTTCCTGGTTGCTGCCAGAACAGCACAACAGCAGACATTTAATGGTTAATGGGAGAGCAAACATTGTGGGAGAGCTGGGGTTTGAATTCAGACTTAAGCTCTTGCTGAATTAACACCTTCAATGAAACATACAGTATGTAATAACTCACGGAAAAAATAATGTATGTAAAAAATGAATCTTTCAAGTCATAGTTTAAAAATATAAATCTATTAATTTAAAAAAAAAAGTTTGAATCCCCATCAAATATTGTTAAGATCAGCAAAGTCTCTCCAAACCTAAAATCAATATCTAGAATTTCAACAATAATATCGTTCCTTAGTTTTTACTTGATGTTGAAATGACTTGTTGATGCTACATTATGCCTCTGATTGATTGATGATTTGATTGTACTGTATGATCAAGCGGCTGGCCTGCATTGTCCATGAGTAGACAAACTCATTGGCATGTCCTTATTTATAAAGCTATACTTAAAGGGATACTTCACCCATTGAAACATGAATCTGTATTGACATTGGGTCTTATATGTAGAAATGTGAAATACATTTTGAAGTTGGTGCCTTCTTGGCCGTGAAAAGGCAGAAAGTGTCTTTTTGGCTCATGCTGATGAAAGACACCAAATCCCAGAATGCACCGCAGGCCACTCCCACTAAGGTCCTCTAGTTCAGAATCAGAAATACTTAATTAATCCCAGACGGAAATTCGATCGTTACAGTTTCTCCAAAATATACAGTATAGCAGAAGAAATATAGTAATAAAAACATTTACAGACATATTTACTTCAACACATAAGACCATTTCCTTAACTGATTCAGAGATTTCTTCCAGAATTGATCCAAGAAAGTTCATGGCAGAAAACGGACTCTATGTCTGTGTCCATAGGCAAACAGTGAGAGCACCGACACTACTAGTCCGCCCCAGCTCGAGCCGGCCCCGGCTCCTCGTCTTCACCACCGCCGACAGGCAGGCATCATGTCTCTGCTGCTGAGCTGGCGGTGGCCAGCGACGGCAATATAGCAATATAGAGACGGTTGCTGCCGACAGGCCGGTCTTATGTCGCAGCCGGGCTCCCGGCGGCTCCTGGGGTCAGGGCTCGCAGCGGCCGGGCTCGTGGCAGCCAAAACACAAAACCGGCCTGTCGGCAGCAGCCATCTCGCCACTATATTTATATTTTTTTGCCATTATCAGCTTTCTCCATAGAGCCTGTTAGCATAGCTTCCAAGCAATATGGCGGACGTTAAGTTTAGATTCTGGGAGCGAGTTCCCACCCACTGATCTGTGATTGGTCTGTAGCTTCAGTGGTTGAAAATATGAGGAACTAGCGTTGTAGTTTCACCCCGCTAACCACAACAGCTTCCAGTGATGCAAAAATCGTCATTTTGCGTCACTGGAAGCTCCTTTTCAGACTTAGAAATACAAAGATTTCCCATCTCAGGGGAAAATGAGGGGGGGATCCATGACCATTCAAAAATACTACCAGGTTTCTAATGATACAAAGCTTAATGCAAATGGGTGAAGTATCCCTTTAACCTGCTTCCCTCACACTTGTGTAATTGTATTCATGCGAAAAGGACTGGAAGCTAGGTCTTTGCTCTACGAGCCAGTCACAAAACGTATTGTCATCTGTTCCCAAACTGTGTCTTGAAACAGGGAAAAGGAGTCTCAGGTGCGCTGCTCCTGCTGGCTGGAATCTCCTTCAGGATGATCTTTGTCTTGGGGAGCTGGTCTCTCTTTTTATCATTTTTAAAGTGGATTGAAGGTGTTGGAGGAAAATGCTAGCTGCTTTAAATAATGACTTTTCTTCTCTGTGACTCAGGACATGTTGATCTGTGTTTGTAAGTACTCTGTGTTTTATGTCTGTAACATGTTTGTTGTGCTGCTGCCCCTCTTGGTCAGGACACTCTTGTAAATTAGATTCTTTAGCAGGAAACCGCTTTTTGAACAGCTGTTCACTGCAATGACCGGAATAAAATAAATGAAAACAAACTACAATATACTGAGACACAAATCTATCACAACTGTATATAAAATATTGTTCATACAATGACTAAAAACTTGAGATCACTCACTTTGAACAACCAGAAGAAACATACAGCTTCAGGAGGCAAATGTGTGAATAAACTGTTTTAACAATGAAGAAAAAATGAAACAAACTTTGTCTTTAGTGAGAGCAGACTATGAACAAGGTCAGTGTGTTAATGAAGTGTACTGTAGGCATATGTTTCACCTACATACACTATGTCATCTTTCTACAGATGTTAGTTTCCAATGTGGGATATTCAATTTTTAAAAATGGTTCTTTAAATATTAAGCTGTGGTTTGTTTGTCAGTGGGTCTCATTTCTGGTAATAGCTGTCGTTCTCATGTATCTAATTTAAGAACTTGGTCTCATTAACCACAAAGTCCACACAGTGAGACACACACGTATCCTCTGTACAGTCTCAGTGTTCAGCTTCATCATGGCCGGACGTCTGCTGTTTGTCTTCTTCATGTGTAAGTAAAACCTTTATTGATTTATTCAGTATTATTGTGGACTATTATAAAGCTCTGCAGATTGAAACATGACGTTAATGTGTCATGTCAGATATCATCACATCAGTGATTAAGCTTTGAGTCGGTGATATTGTGTTTTGTGTTCTGCCAGTTGTGACAAATAAAATATATTTTTGTTTCAGTTAATAATTTTCCATCTGATGAAAATAAATGAATAGTTGGAGGAGTTGAAATGTGTGAACTCTTGGAGTTATTATTATGTAGTCACCTTACTTTCACTGTGTTTTTTAAACAGATGTCTTTAATGGGATTCAAACAGAAGGTCAGTCTGTGATCTCTCATGGTTCATGTCTAACTGTGCTGTGATCGCTGCACTACTGAAGAATTTAAACATTTATATACAGCTTATGTTTGAGTTTGATAAAACATATTAATTGTTTATATTTTCAGCTCGTCTTCCACCTAAACTTACAGTGAATTCAGCGGTGATCACAGAGACAGACTCAGTCACACTGAACTGTCAGACTCCATCATCAGTGTCTCAGTGTTATTACCAAACTTTAAGTGGAGAAACTGTGAGGATATTATCCTGTCAGCAGACACTGACAGGAAGTGAACTGCTGAAGATGGATCATCAGAGTTCATCTGCTGAGGTCAAAGTGGAATGTTTTTACATTGTTCAGATTGGAGACAAACATTTTCCATCTCCACACAGTGACACAGTCTCCATCAGCATACAAAGTGAGTAATACAAGTGTTCATATTCATATAATAATAACAATAATAATAATAATAATATTCATATATTTTGTTACATAATCAGAAAGAAACAAATTGGTTCAAGCAGTCTGATTTAAAGAGTTGGAATATTGTCAAAAGGCATCCTCTATAAGTATACATTTGTCAAGTGATTTATTTGAATGAAAATACTTTTGCATATTTAATATGTATTTGAGCTACATTTGTTTTGTGTGTTTTAATAATTATTTTGAAAGTGATTATATAAGATAATCTGTTGTTGTTTATAGTCCTAAAAACACCAAAACAAACATACTAATGGGAGCACTGGTGGAACATGTATTATACTGTGATCCAGCGGTGATCACAGAGACAGACTCAGTCACACTGAACTGTCAGACTCCATCATATGTGTCTCAGTGTCAGTACTTCACTTTAAGTGGAAGAACTGTGAGGACATTTTCCTGTCTGCAGACACTGACAGGAAGTGAACTGCTGAAGATGGATCATCAGAGTTCACCTGCTGAGGTCAAAGTGAAATGTTTTTACACTGTTCAGAGTGGAGACAGAAATGCTCGATCTCCAGAAAGTGAATATTCCTCTGTCTCTGTTCAAAGTAAGTAAATCTGTCTTCAAGCTGGATCAGCAGAAGAAAAACCCTGTGGTGTAAATGTCATGAACAAAACATTTTATTTTATTTTTAGGTGAGACAAACTCAAACAAGGAGAGTGTCAGCACTTTGACAACCTCAGTTTCTATTGTAACTTCACCTGCTGATCAAGGTGAGTATAGCCTACTGCATATTTTAGTGTTGCTTACTCTTTTACCGTCATTTACTAACTAGCACTGTCACATAAAACTAGAGTCCCACATTTTACTTAAACTTCAGACTCCTGTTAAAACATAATTTTTTCAGACATTCAAGTCCAACAGACTCCCGATTTATCCTTTAAACAAGTCCCACACAGCAGGAGTTTGCCTGGACAAACTTAGTGGTATGATGGTCAAAGTCATACGTTGGTCAAAGACGATACCAAGATTTGATATTTGGTTGAAACGAGCCAATTAACTGATCAACTACAGTGGTGATGGTATCTGTTACAATAAAATTATATTTCAGTTTTGTCAGGATTAGGATCAAGTAAATTAATATAAATCCACTTTTGGATAGCGACATAGCAGTTATTAACAGTTCCAGTTATCGGGTTTTATCATCAAAGTTTTATAGTCCGCTCCATCAGCAACAAGAGAGGAGGTTTTTCCAAGCCCGAAATGTCCCATGTTGTCAAGCACATTGATGTTGATATCACTCTAACCTCTAAGAAAGAGAAAATCCTCCCCTCCACATTCAACAAGGCAATGCTTCTGAACAGGTTGATGGTATGGGAGTTCGTTTCACTACCTGGGGACAGTTCTTATACAGCTTGTAGGGGATCCCGTTCTGTCCAGGGCTGATGCTGATGCCTTTTGATAACCTCATGCAGTTTAGGTGGGGAGGTATCAAATGGCAAGGTTGGTGGAACTGGGCATAGCACATGTCCTGGGGAGCCGAGGTGTAGCTTGTCTGCTATCACTGTACTGGCTCTTCATGTACTGCTCCATCTCCTCCTTGGTGGCGTCTAGCTTACCACTCTCTTCTTCTCTCTCTTCTTCCTCCTCCTTCTGATCCTCTCGGTCCTGTGCAGCTGGGCAAGCTTCTGTTTGACCTCGTCCCACAGCTCCTTTAGGCCGACTTTTTCATCGGGTGCAGCTTTCCTCCAGTTCTGGCTGAGTTGGCGCCTGGTTCTGACAAGTTGTTCTATGTCCCTCTCTATCCTTCTGCTTCCTCCTGATTTCCCCAAACTTCTCTCTGCACTCCTCATGGATGATCTCACTGAAGATGTTAAGCTTGTGATGTGGATTCCCTTGTTGTTGATATGTTTGATGATGAAGAAATTCGCCGTTGACACTGACTTGCTTACATAATGATCATTTTATTGACAAACAAGATACAGCTTCTCCAGGCTCGCCATGTTTCGGCCTGGCGGAAGACCCAAAGCCAAAAGTGATCTCCCCTGAACATAGGATGAGAGTCTTATTTATGGACAAACCCCACATTGGAACATCTGCTTGTCGTTATGGGACTTCAAAAACATCATGTAACACATCATCATATTTGGCAATTCTCTTACAAAACACCTTAAGGTAAACAGTCAACTTGAGGGGACTCCTATACCACGTCAGATACAAATTCTTTCCAGATGTGTGTGTTACACAACTTTAAAAGAGCAGTATATTATCTCTGTCTTAGATATTTAAGACACTTCACTTGCTTTTCATTCCTCCTCTCAAGGACAGCTCCAGCAGGTGGCTCAAGTCTGCATCGAGTTTCTGCAACTTCGTTCGCTTTTGGCCACTTGATCTTGATGTGTCTCCCTGGTTGCTTTGCTATCAGACTAGTGGGGCGTGCCACTGGTAGACCTGTGTCCTCATCTATGCTGTGTACCTTCTCCATCACAGGACCTCTTTCTGCTACTTCCAACATTCCAGCTCCATTGGGTCCTGTTGCACTGTGGTTGCAATCCTAGCTTTGGGTCCCTATCGTCTGAGCTGCTTGCACAATGCGAGGTCGTTGGTCTGTCTGCCTTTCATCTACCCCTGATGGATGTGTAATCCCCTACATGATGCCACCTTCTCCCAACCGCAAATACACTTCCGGAGGATTTTCTCATTGTGGTTTTCCATTCCTGTCGTTACCTCTTGTTCCGTCCTGGTAGGCCCATCTTCTCTCGGAGGGCCTTCGGGTTGTTTACTTTTGTTCTGCTTGGTAGTCAAGAAGGGTGCATCCTGGGGCTTCCAGGTTGCAAGTGGGTAGGGTGACTAGCCGCCCACTCCTGCTGCAGTCTGTCCTGCTGTCAACTGGTCTTTTCAAGTTGTCTGCCAGTCTTTCCTAGCTGTCACCCGACAACATCATGTACAATAGTGATGTTTTAACAGCAGAGTGACTGTAAATCTGGGCATTTATGACTGAGCTTGTACACAGAGGGACATTAACCATCTGGGATTTTTGTCTTTTCCACTTTTTGCCCAAAACACTCTGGGTTAATAAAAAACATTCCTTGTTAAAAGTCAGACACTTACAGAGTCAATGCTTCTTCACTTATGTTCAAAGATAATGATATGTTTGAATGTTTTTGTGCTTGTGTGCTTTTAAGATACAGGTATTACTGCGGCCTCAAATAAGACAGCACCTGGGAATTAAATGAAAGTTAAACCAATATTGATATCAATGCATGATATACTCAAATGGTTCTCTTTTTCTTGTTGTAAAACTGTTTTGGCTGTGCAGGTCCGACTGTAAGTCCTCCGGATACTAAAGAATTGTGGAATTGGACGTTTGTCTGGGTTTTCGCTGGTTGTGGATCTACTGTGGTCATCACAGTGATTGTTAATGTTATTCTTTGGAAGACAAGAAGAGCTTGTGAGTCAAATGAAGTCAGAATCTTTTGTTATGTAGAAGACTGAAATATCAAACTTTTAAACTTTACTCTTTCAGTGTTTCTTTTGTAGTGAAATATTTGTAAGCTCTAAAAGTAGCGATTGTAAAATGGTAAATGTACTTGAGCTTGTATAGCACTTTCCTCGTCTTCTGACTACTCAAAGCACTTTTACACTGCAGGTCACACTTACACATTCACACACTGATGGTAGAGGTTGCAATGTCAATGTCCATCAGTGTGAATTAATCCATTCATACAAATTCATATGCCGCTGACGAAGCAGCTGTGTAATGCTTGTTGTCATGTAGATTGACATTAACATCACTCTAACCTCTTCTGCTGCAGGTATTGTAGAGAAAGAGTCCAGAAGGACTCAGAGAATGCCATCACTCATCAAAACCACAGGTATGACATTGTATTTATTCAAGATCCCTTTTACAAACAAGTATTAACAGCAGGAGCAACTTGGGGTTAAGTGTCTTGCCCAAGGACAGATTGGACGTGTGGCTGCAGGAGCTGGGGATCAAACCCTTGACCTCCTGGTTGAGAAACCGACTCTACCACTGGGGACACAGCTGTCCCTTTAATCCCTATTGAAGGGTTAAAAATCTACTTTGAATATGTACTTGTAAGAGTTACTACTTCAGACAGACACATTTAAAACTAAATTGTAATGCATTTCGAGTATAATGAATTAAATAGTGTTTAATTTACTGAAGGTGCATTTGGAGAAGACATCAGAAAACATTGATGTCAGTAAAAGGGGTCAGGTTTGAATGGCTGCTCTAACATGCACCCAGCTTTAAAGGTTTTGGTGAAGCATGATTGAAGACTCCGCTGAGGAGACCTCGGAAAAATGGCAACTGTTGAGTTCACATGGTTCACAGCTAGCCTATTAAAATAACTTCTGTGGTAAATGTCAGCTTGCGCATATATAACCACAAAGAGCTGCAGCTCAAACTGAGTAAAAGACAAGTGTGGTAGAACACGCTAGACATGGAGACAGCGTCGTTGAGAACACTCTCCTATCTCATATCTCATTGCACTTCTGAACGTGAGCTGGAGGTGAGGTGAGGTGCATTTCTTAATAACATAAAGTGTTTCACAACCTTCAATTCTTAGCTGTGGTTGTCAGTGGCAGTTATAGATCACTTTTACTGAGGGGGCCAAACTGGGGCCAGTTGTTTTGTTAGAGGGGAACATTAAACCAAGGTGAAAAGTGGACAAAGATAATCGCTTTTTTATATGTATGTATATATATATATATATATATGTATGTATTATGCTAAATAATAGTGCACATCATTAAATACCATGATTTACATGTGTTTCCGTTAATATCACAGTAGATTGTTGTTGAGTTAAATACTGTGTATGTGTTATTAGGGGGGCTCTTCCTTTTGGAGGGGTGGCCACAGTGTTACAGGGGCACTGCCCCCTGTTGGCCCCTGCCCAGAACCGCCCATGGTGGTTGTCCAAGCTGTAGTTCCCATAATGTTTCTCGCCATGTATCACCCTCCTAAACTAAGAACATATTTTATTGATGCATTCAAAAGTTTCCATTAACTATGACTGTGTTGTAATTTCTGGTGACTTTGTATTCACATCAATAATCTGAACACAAAACTGTTATTAAATGTGCTAGAAGCATTTGAGTTCTCACAGCGGTTTAAGGGGCCCACATGAAAATAAGGTCACACCATCGCCCTGATTCTATTTAAAGGACACAGTAAAGTAATAACGGTTACTGCTTTTCTCGATGTTGCAATTCAGATCACTTCTGCATCTTTTTTAATATGACCTGCAAACCAAGACATGACAATGTGGTTATCATTTCAAATACGCGTTCTATTAATGACAATACCACTGATATGTATATTAATACATGAACCATAATCATGTCATCATGTGATGAGATGAGGGCCAATTTAACTCTGTTGTTAGTCAAATCATTGGCAACACTGCTCCCATCAAAAGCCAATAAAACAACACGGCTGTGGATCAGTGATCGAGTCGTCTCTCAACCGGACAGTCGGGGGTTTGAACCCCAGCTCCTGCAGCCACATGTGGGCAAGGGCAAGACACTTACCCCAAGTTTCTCCCACTGCTTCGTTGCTGCCGTATGCATGTGTATGAATGGGATTAGTTACTTCTGATGATCACTTCACATAACGACCTCTGTCATCAGTGTGTGAATGAATAGATGTGACCTGAGGTGTAAAAAGTGCTTTGAGTAGTCAGAAGACTAGAAAAGTCTACTATTAAACAAAAAAAACAAAGACTCCTGGGAGGAATGGGGAACAAGTGAGTATGCTCAAAAGATCTCACCGAAAAGGCTGAACAAAAATGGTGAGATTAAAAGCTTCAGATATATTTTTAAATCTAGAAAAAGTATACTGACCTGTCAGAAAAAAATAACTGAAAATGTCAAAACAGCAACACATCTCAAAAATGATAAATTACAATACAAATGATACTCACTATCTCTTCTTCACAGTTAGTAAACTATTAAATCCTTATAGGTCAAATTCTGAGGAATTACTCTCTAGAATAAATGTAATGAGGTCGCCAGTTGCAAAATAAAAAAATTTAAAAAATAAAATAAAATCTTGAGCATAAGAACTTACACTTCAGGCTCCTCTCATCAGCCCACATGTGTCAAGTTAGTACTGTACAGTACCTACCTCTACCTCTCCTCTTGACCCTATTCCCACAAAACTGTGTAAATGTATCCCTCACAGCCTGTTACATGACTTACATCATGTTGTAAATGATTCTCTTCAGACTGTTTTCCCCACTTCTCTAAAACCTGCTACAGTTACTCCTTTACTAAAAAAACAACAACCTGACCCATCAA